ATGGTCTTGGGTCTACATTTAAGTCTTTAATTTATTTAGAGTTACTTTTGTAGAATAGGGGTTCAATTTCATACTTTTCTTGTGAATATCCAATTTTCCCCACACTGTTGAAGAAACTATCCTTTCCTCACTGAGTCCTCTTGGCTCCCATGTCAAATTTTAGTTGGCCATATAGGTGTAGGTTTATTTCTGGGTTCTCGATTCTATTCCATTGGTCTATATGTCTATTCTTATGCTAGTACTATTTTCATTACTGTAGCTTTATAATATAATTTGAAATCAGAAAGTGTGATTTGTTCTTTCTCAGTGTTGCTTTGGATATTAGGGATCTTTTGTGGTCCCATATAAATTTTAGGACTTTTTTTCCTGTTTCTATGAAGGATGCCATTGGAATTTTGATAGGGATTGCGCTGGATCTGTAGATGGCTTTGAGTAGTATGCACATTTTAACAGTATTAATTCTGCTGATCCAAGAACATAGGATATCTTTCCATTTTTTCATGTCTTCGGTTTCTTTCACCAACGTTGTATAATTTTCAATGTACAGGTCTTTCACCTCCTGGTTAAATTTATTCCTAAGTATTTTATTGTTTTTAATGCCCTCATAAATGGGGTTCTTTTTCTTTCTTTTTCAAATAGTTCATTGTTAATCTATAGAAATGCAACTAATTTGTGTATGTTGATTTTGTATCCTGCAACTCTACTAAATTTATTAATTCTAATAGTTTTTTGATGGAATATTTAGGACTTTCTGTATATAAGATCATATCATCTGCAACAGATACAGTTTACTTATTTCCAATTTGGATAACTTTTATTTCTTTTTGTTGTCTAATTACTTTGTGTAGGACTTCCAGTATTATGTTGTGTAAAAATGGGGAGAGTGAACTTCCTTGATTTGTTCTTGATCTTAGAGGAAAAGCTATCAGCTTTTTATCGAGTGTAATATTAGATATGGACTTATCATATAGGGCTTTTATTATGTTGAGGTATAGCCCATCTATACTTTGTCTAGAGTTTTTTAAAAAAAAGATGCTGAGGGGTCCCTGGGTGGCTTAGTCCTGAGACCCTTGTCTCAGGTCACGATCTCATGGTTCGTGAATTCAAGCCCCACATTGGGCTCTCTGCTCTAAGTGCAGAGCCCACTTTGGATCTTCTGTCTCCCTCTCTGTCTCTGGCCCTCCTCTGCTCTCTCTCTCTCTCATCTCTCTCTCAAAAATAAATAAACATTAAAAAAAAAGATGCTGAATTTTGTCAAATGCACTTTCTACATCTATTGAGATGATATGATTTTATTAATGTGGTGTATCACATTGATTGATTTGCATATGTTGAACCACTTTTGTATCCCAGGAATAAATCTCACTTGGTCATGATGTGTGATCTTTTTAATGATTATTGAATTTGATTTGCTGATACTTCATTGAGAATTTTTTATCTATGTTTATCAGGGATAATTGCTTATAATTGACTTTTTTTTGTAATGTCTTTATCTCACTTTGGTATCAGGTTAATTCTAACCTTTTAAAATGAATTTGGAAGTGTTCTCTCCTCTTCAGTTTTTTGGGAGAGGGTGAGAAGGATTTCTATTGATTCTTCTTCAAGTGTTTGGTAGAATTCACCAGTGAAGCCGTCTGGTTGGTCCTGGACTTTAGTTAGTTGGGATGTTTGTTTGTTTGTTTGTTTGTTTTGAAGTTTACTTATTTATCTGAGAGAGAGAGAGAGAGAGAGAGAGAGAGAATGAGAGACAGAGCAAGTGGGAGGGGTAGAGAGAGAGAGGATCCAAAGCAGGCTCTGCACTGCCAGTGCTGAGCCCAATGTGGGGCTTGAACTCATGAACCGTGAGATCATCACCTGAGCTGAAGTCAGACACTTAACCAACTGAGCCATTCAGGCACCCTGATATATTTTTGATTATCGATTCAATCTCCTTTCTCTTAATTGGCCTGTCAGATTTTCTATTTCTTCATGATTCAGTCTTGGTAGGTTGTATGTTTCTAGGAACATCCACTTACCCAATTTGTTGGAGTACAATTGTTCATAGTAGTTTCTTATGATCCTTACTGTTTTTGGGGTATCAGTTGCAGTGTCACCTCTCCTTTCTAATTTTATTTATTTGAGTCTTCTCTCTCATTCTTTTTTTTCTTAATCTAGGTAAAGGTTTGTCAATTTTGTTTATCTTTTCAAAAAATTAACTCAATTTTGTTTATCTTTTCTGTAGTGTTTCTGGTCTCTTTTTCATTTATTTTTGCTCTGATCTTTGTTATTTCTTTCTTTTTACTACCTTTCATCTGAGTTTGTTCTTTATATAGTTCCTTGAGGTATAAAATTAGGTTGTTTATTTGAAATCTTTCTTTTTTCTTCTTAATGTAGGTGTTTATTGCTATAAACTTCCCTCTTAGGACTATTTTGCTATATCCCATAAGTTTTATTATGCAGCATTTCCATTTTTATTTGCTTCAAGATATTTTTTATTTCCCTTTTGATTTCCTCATTAACTCATTAGTTTTCCAAGTATGTATTGTTTAATTTTCACCTACTTGTGGATTTTCAAGTTTTCCTCCTGTTATGAATGTCTAGTTTCATACCATTGTGGTCAGAAAAGATACTTGGTACAATTTTAATCTTCTAAAATTTGTAATGCAGTTTTGTGACCTAAAATATAATCTAGATTTGAGAATATTCTGAATGCATTTGAGAAGACTGTATTCTGCTTTGTTGGGTGGAATTTCTGTATATGCCGGTTAAGTCCATTTGGTCTACAGTATAGTTCAAGCCCAGTGTTTCCTTTTTGATTTCCTGTCTGGATGAGCTATCCATTGTTGAAAGTAGAACACTGAAGTCCTCTACTATTATTGTATTGCTTCTATTTCTTCCTTCAGGTCTGTTAGTATTTGCTTAATATTAGGTGCTCTGATGTTAGATCTCTCTCTCTCTCTTTCTGGATATAGATATACCAATATCTAATCTATATATAGAGAGAGAGATAGAGAAATATATATATATATATATATATATATATATAATATATTATGTGTTATTATATTATTATTATTATTGTATACACACACATAGAATATAGACATATATAGATACATATTCTCTTGAATGAATTGGCCCCTTTAGCATTATATGACCTCCTTTGTCTCTTATTACAATTTTTGACATAAATTCTATTTTATCTGATGTAACTATAGCTACCCCTGCTCTCTTTTGGTTTCCATTTGCATGGAGTATCTTTCTTCCATTCCTTAAGGCTACATGTGTCCTTAAAGCTGGTGTGAATCTCTCTTGTAGGGGGCAGCATATAGTTGGGTCTTTTTAAAATTCATTTGCTCTCTCTATGCCTTTTGACTGGAGAATTTAATCCATTTATTTTTAAAGTAATTTTTGATAGGGAGGGACTTATTAATGCCATCTTAATCATTGTTTTTTGGCTGTTCCCTTGTTCCTTTCTTCCTCTTTCACTGTGTTCCTCTGTGAACTGATTTTCTGTGGTGGTATGCTTTGACTCTCTTCTTTTTATCTTTTGTAGGTTTTAGCTTTATAGTTACATGGGGCTTATTTATACAACATATGTTATAGATATAACAGCTTATTTTAGGCTGATAACAACTGAATTTTGATCACATACAAAAACTCTACCCTTTTACTCACATCTCCATATTTTATGTTTTTGATGTCATAATGTACCTCTTTTTTATGTATGCACCATTAACCAATTATTGTAGCTGTAGTTACTTTTAGTACTTTTGTCCTTAACTTTTATACTAGAGTTAAGTGAGTTACACATCTCATACTACAGTATTGGAGTATTTTGAAATTGACTATATATTTACCTTTACTGTTGTGTTTTATACCAGTGTGCATGCCTTTAAACTTCATGAACTAAGCTTTAAGTTTGTAATGTTGAGCTTTTGAGTCCTTTCTGAGTGGTTGCTTTACAGTGTTTGAAACCTTTAAAGCTTCATTTTGCATCATGAGAATCTCAAAGATACATAGCCCTGAGTTTGATCCCCCAACTACAAAACAATCTTTCTCTTTTGGCTTTGACCTCATCATTTTACCATAGTGGATCAGCTTCTATGAGCCCCAAAGAATTCTTTGGCATTCTGAACTTGTAAACAGAGAGGGGGAAAGGAGGGGAGGTCACAGGATCAGGATATGGGTAGATGAGAGCTTTCCAGTGTTTTTGTTATGGCTGAGAGACAGACACACATGTTTCTATGACAACTACAGTATGTGGGTTGGAGAAGAGATGGTTTGCACACTCTGGCTTTGGTTGGTTTCCCTTTCTTGCTCTTTCTGATGTGTCAGTGACCTTCCCTGAACAGATAGAATTAAGTGTTATTGTTTTAAATTTTGTTTGGGAGTTAGGCTAAATTTAAATTGTACATGGTAGATCATGAGATGTTAAAGCAGAAATTAACACTTCAAGAATTATCTTCTCAGTATGAAGAAACTGAAGCTCACAGAAGTTGTTTTGTTTTATATGGGGTCTCACATCTAGTAAGTGGCAGAACTCAGAGAAAAGCCCAGGTCTTCATTCCTTTCTCCTTCACCTAAGTAATTTGATGCATTTTACCAGGAAGAACAAGAATCATTTCTTATGAGGATTTAGTGATGTACACACAAATCAACATTCAGAAGCCTGTTCTTTCTTTTTATGAGTTTTAAATATAGTATAATGGCCATACAAAATAAATCTTCAGATTCCAAACTTGACAATGTCCTTCTGCTCCATTTTCTCTCTTGGATTACAAGGACATATTTCCATTTTATTGCAAATTGAACACAAGCAGTTTGACTACACAGCCAGCAGTTTAGCAAGATCATTTCAAGTTGCAAACCTCTCCAGTTTTGTCTTGAATGAACTTGAGGTTGGGTGTGTATATAACTATTTTCAGTGATATACTTTAACTGTCTTTGAATAGGCTCAGACAGTTCCCTGGTGGTCTCAAACTGCAAATTTATGCCCTCTGTACTATCTTCCTTTCCAGGACCAGATCTTTATGGAAAATGTGGGCGCAGTGAAGCAGCTCTGCAAACTAACAAACAACCTTGAAGAAAGAATAGAAGAGTTAGAAATATGGAACAGAAAGCTGGCCAGGCTAAAGCGGCTCAGTAGTTTGAAGTCTTCAGCCAGTGAAGCAAGCTCCATCAGGTATATCCAGGGGCACCACAGGAGAAAGGAGACAATAGGGCCTTTCCATAACCAGATCAAACTAGATGGTCTTTCTGATCAAGCAGCAACCACTACTTTCTGCTAATGAAGTCCCTATTCTGTTTTTAGAATGTTTTGGGACACAATTGCCTTATGTGATAATGTTCTTATTTTTTCTGTTGCTGCTTTGAAAATGAAACAAACCGTGAAGTGTCTGTTTAAGAGCAAGGTGTTTTAGGAAATGTTGCATTTTACAAAGGATGACTTCTCCTTTAAGGAGTAGAAGTGGCCATTTCTAAATTTAGAAAATCGTCTTTGGTTCTCAGGGGAAAAACTTCTAATTTTTTTTTTCATTTAAGGAGGTAAATGCACATTTCCTGGGGTCTAATTATGAGAAAAAGAGAAATACAACATTTAACGCATTCATTTACGCTTACTAAGGTTCTTTTTCTCAAAAGGAACTCTCAATTGCCTTGACTTTTCCTTTGTAAAATTACCACTGTATTACAGAAAAAATCATACTGCTGTGTTAGTGGCAGCCTGGGCTTTTGTCGTGTAACTCCTGGAGAGGCATTTGAACGGTAATTAACATTCTCTCTCTCTTTTTAAAGCAAATTTAGCAGAGCTGTTAGTGCATCTTCTCCAAGAAAGGCCATTCCCAAAAAAACCAACAAGGTAAATAGACTTATTTGTAATGCACAGTGATAATGTTTTATACATATATATAAAAAAAGAGTGTTTAGAGAAATTGATCAAAAATGCTTCCCTTCATTTATCTGTTGATAGACTCCCTTGTTTGCATCTTCATGCACTTTAGGTATTTAATTACTACCCCTTTAATAGTTTTTTCAAAAAGATGTTTAGAGAAATAAGTACAGAACATGTTCATTTCAGAAATACTATTCTGCCGGGTTTTGTTTTTTTTTTAATATATTGCCTCTATCAAGTGAAATTCATCAGCTTCCACATGCATATGGCCTTAGGCTGCACGATCTGTGTGGATGCCTTAACTCAACCTCATTCCTTATCTATGGCTTCAGAAGATCCCAGGGGGACTTCCATTAATCCCCTAAATCCCTTTTTTCCCTTTTGATAGTTAGTACTCTATGTGCAAATGGGGAAATAGGTATTCACTTTCTTGCAAAGGTTAAAGTGTGATGGTTTTATTAATGAATAAAGAGAACTTTCATCAAATAGGGTAACATTTACCTTAAAAAGTGAAGGCTAATCATTTATTGATTTAAAGTACACCCTCTTCAATGAAGAGGAGTGTCAGTAAGGGAGAAGCTGCACTATTCCCTTCCTAGTACAATTCATAAATGCCATGAAACCCAGCTTGTTCCCTCTGACCCACCAGTGTTCCCCAGGTGGCCCTTCCCCAGGAAGATATTCATGACCTTAATCTATATTTTATTAAGGACTGATATGGTGTTTGGGCCATTGCCCCCATTTACTCTCTTTTCTTCATGTTATACTGCATTGACCTATTTTTTTTAAGTTTATTTACTTATTTTAAGAGAGAGAGAGAGTAGGGGAGGGGCAGAGAAAGAAAGAGAGGGAGAGAATCCTAAGCAGGCTCTTCACCGTCAGAACAGAGCCAGACAAGGGGCTTGAACTCACAAACTGTGAGATCATGACCTGAGCTGAAACCAAGAGTTGGATGCTTAACTGACTGAGCCACCCAGGTGCCCCTGCATTGACCTATTTTAAAAGAACTCAGGGGGCGCCTGGGTGGCGCAGTTGGTTAAGCGTCCGACTTCAGCCAGGTCACGATCTCGCGGTCCGTGAGTTCGAGCCCCGCGTCAGGCTCTGGGCTGATGGCTCGGAGCCTGGAGCCTGTTTCCGATTCTGAGTCTCCCTCTCTCTCTGACCCTCTCCCTTTCATGCTCTGTCTCTCTCTGTCCCAAAAATAAATAAACGTTGAAAAAAAAAATTAAAAAAAATAAAAGAACTCAGAAAGAGTTTAATATTCTACTAAAAACTGCTAAAAATGTTATGTTGCTGACAAGCTACTTGGTATACAAATAAACATAAATACATGGGTAAATATCTATGTAGAAGTGTCCTTGGGCAAGTTACTGAATTGCACTGAGAAATAAATATAATAATAGGCTCTATCTTGCAAAGATTGTTGATAGGATTAAAGAAGGTGAAGCCCTTAGCCACAGTGCCCAGCACATAGCAGTTTGCTTAATAAACACAAACTATTAAACATGTTGTGTAGGAAGGGTACTGTTTGTACTGACCAGTTTGCAATGGGATGGAGGAAATGCTACCTACATCCATGGCGGCACTGATTGGTGCAATTCGGTTATGTGCAACCTCTGTAGCTCTCACTCTGCACTTGGGGAATTTCTTTTATTTTGCAGTTATGTCAGAATAATAACTAGAATGTGTGATTCATGAGAACAGGCCCCATATCTGCCTTCCCCAGGGACTGGCACATAGTAGGTACTCAAGCAGTATTTGTTAAATGAATGCATGAATGGAAAACCAGGTCTGATCATCTTCCCTGAAGGCTCACAATCTAAATTAAAAACATTGGGGCACCTGGCTGGCTCAGTCAGAAGAGCATGCGACTCTTGATCTCAGAATCGTGAGTTCCAGTCCCACACTGGGTGTAGAGATTACTTAAATAAAAAACTTAAAAACATTTTTTGTTAAATTAAACACATTAAGTAGTTTGGTCTCTTGGGTATGTGGGTGGGGAAGGGGATTGGCTTGTGGACACAGAGTAGAGGATTTATGTGGGTATTGAAAAGCACCCATTCAACTCAGAGACCTCTTGCAGTCACTGTTGTAAGTGGGAGGCAGACAAAAGTGAGTAAGACATGGCCTCTTCTCTGAAGGAATTTCTAGGTGGCCAGGGAATATTGGAGAACAATACAAGAACAGTTGTATCTGGATGTGGTAAATATTGTAAAGGCTCAGAGTGCTGCAGAGCATTATGGGGCCAGCCCTTCTAGGAGGAGTAAGCTCTGGCTAGATATAGGAGAGGTTCCAGAGAGGCTGGCAGAAGCAAAATCTGGGGGGCAGCACTGGCTTCATTAAAGGATTAGGTGAGAGTCGGCTGGGGGGAGAGTAGGAGGTAAGGCTGAAAATATAGGTGAGGCTCAAATTTCCTGGGCCACCTGTTATGGAATTCCCTTGGTAGGCCATGAAAACCTTTTGAATAATAACAATAACATCTAATTTGTATAGTGTGCTTTTGTTTTACAGACAGGAGAAGGGAGGCAACATAGCATTGTGGTTAGGAGCACAGATTCTGGAGCCAAATATTTTTTGGTTTAAATCCTGGCTGTATGACTTACTAGCTGTGTGATCTTGGGTAAGGAACTTAGCCTTCCTATGCTTCGTTTTTTCCCTTCTCTATAAGATGGGGATGATAACAGTACCTGTTCTGAGGGTTGTTGAGGATTATCTGAGCATTAAATAAATTAGTATATATAAAGCACTCACAAGACAACATGGCACATAATAAGTACTATGCAAGTGTTCACTCTTATTAGAACTTGAGTGTTCTCATACTTCGGCATATTTTGAGTCTTCCAGGGAGCTTGATAAAGTACAAATAATGGGGATGTTTTCCTTCCCTTGTGTTGTCTTTGCATGAGGTCTTGGCTATTTCTCTGAGGTTGACTTTCCCTTCCATGACATCAACGCCTAGGTATCCTCTGTTCCCTGGAGCCCCCATGATCCTTGGGTCATTGAAACACATGCGTGTGGGTGGAATGTGCTACTCTTAGGACGGGTGGCTGTGTTAATGAGCAAAGTGCTGGTTGTGAGCAGTTGGTGGACCTTAGCAGATGGTAAGAGGCCTGGCTGGGCCTTGCCTTGCCTTCCACATAGCTGCCGATGGTGGCACTTGTTCTGGAGGAAGATTGAGGTCTCCTGAGTAGCTCTCCTCCAATCTAGTGTTCTTCTTCCTTCCTTCTCTTTCTCTACCTCCAAGAGGTAGATGGGTGACCCCCACTGTGTATTGATGGTTGTGGTGAGATGGGAAGGTCTTCAGTCCTTTGAGCAGAATTTTCCAGGACCTTTAGGTTTTTAATAAATTCTGTAATAATTCTCATGCAGACCTAAATTTGAGAACCATTGCACTGTTAGTTGGACCCACCCAATAACTCTGAAATGTTGGCAGGTATTATTTTATCATTCCTATTTTATTGATGAAGGAAATGAGAATCAATGACATTTAGATGACTTGTTCAGGACCCAACTCCAAGCCCGACTCCATGTCTTAGGTCATTTCCCTACACTAGGTCAAAGGATTTGGAGCAAAAGCATGGAGATTTAAAATAATTCAGCAGCCATGGGGAGTAGATTGGAGGGGAAACTCTTATCCTGAGCCTAATGCTGTTTAATTACAATCAATTCAACAAATTTCATTGAGTTCCTTCTCTGTACGGCACATTTTTAGGACATCCTCTGAACAGTTCCAGTGAGATGTGAGAATGGTAGAAACTATTCACTTCTTAGTATTCAGAGTGGCTTCCAGCTGCCCTTACGGGTGACTCAGTTACGAGAGTCCTAAGAGTTTGTATATTTGTTAAAAACTTGTATAATTAATCCCACCCCCAACCCTAATATAACATTGAAGAATATTTTATTGATTCAGATAACCAACCCAAGAAATTTAAATACAGACCAGTTTCAAACTATGTCTTAAGTACCACCATCCTTCAATTCTTTTCCAACCAAAAGTATGATTCTACCCTCTACCCTCCAGAAGGAAGCAAATGTAATATTCTCTATTGCATTCATAGAAAAGCTCCTATTTAAGGAGCACCGTATTAAAATGGGCAGAAAACCTCTGCTATCTTTTCAGCCAGATTCAACAGCAATTACACAGCTCTCTATTCTATAGTTCTTGGCCCATTCCTCATATGCAAGGTTTTATGCCAAAATGCATCAGTCTTAGAGGTTTGTCTCCTTTACTTCCTAGAAACTATAACTTACTTATTTTTAGAGCCCCCATAATGCGATACACAGTAGTGCTTAATGAATATATAAGATGAATATGAATATGAATTTATAAGAATAAATAAGACACAGGCCCAGAACTGTCCTTAAAAATAGGTAGCAAAGGGGTGCCTCGGTGGCTCAGTCAGTTAAGCATCCAAGTCTTGATTTCAGCTGAGGTCATGATCTCACCATGCATTGTGAGATCAAGCCCTGTGTTGGGCTCCACCCTAGTCATAGAGTCTGCTTAAGAATTTCTCTCTCTCTCTATCTGCTCCTCCTCCACTTGTGCACATACACAAAAGAAGAAAAAAGAAAAAGAAAGAGGTAGCAGAATTGAATATTGATGTGTATGATTTAAAGAGTACTCACTAGCTCTCACCATACAAGTCTTTTCCATGGTTTGTCATGGTGCCTGAACTTCTTCCATTGGAATTGATTCCATCGTCTCTTGAAGACTTTATTTTCAAAAAGTGTTCTAGTGAAAGAGATGAACATCTGGGTTCTGACACTATCTTGTCTGATAGGTCCTCTTCTCTCATGAAACTTGAAGAATAAGCACTAAATGAACGGCACAGACACTTGTCCTGGATTCAGGGTGCTAGGGAAAAGAGAGCTTACTGTAGCCTGGAGTGTCAAGGAAAGGGAGAGGCCTGAGGCAGGCTTTGAAAGAACTCCATTTTCAGGAGGCAGAGAGGAGGGAAATATAGGTTGAAGAGAGCACACTTGCCAGCCCATGGAAGCAGCAAAGATCCCTGATGGGAGCGAGTCTTCAGGGGTCCTTCTCCCAGTTAGCATTGATGGTTTATCACTGCTCCTTACTGAATCTTCTTTTACAGGTTTATTTTTCAGGAAAAAAACAATTGTGTCCTAACTGGATTTTCCAGACCTTGGTTATAACTCTCATTGCTGTGATGGCCTTTTGGTAAGAAAACGTCAGTGTTATGCTGTGTCAAGCTCTTTTATCCTTCCCATCTTCCTTTTCTCATATATGAACTGGGGACTGACCTATTTACTTTGAAGACAAGGGGCTCTTTAACTGAACATTGACCTTTGATTTAACTTAGAGATAAGGGAGCCCTTTTTATTTTTATTTAAAAAAATTTTTTAAATATGAAATTTATTGTCCAAATTGGTTTCCATACAACACCCAGTGCTCATCCCAACAAGGGATGCCCTTCTTAAACTCATATTCTGAAGAAAAAAGCATAGGCTTTCTGTACTTAAATGTGAGAGGAAGGATTTTTTTTTGCAATTAATTGATACTTTTTAGCAACTCACTGTGCCTTTCCTGTGTGTGTATGTGTGTGTGTGTGTGTGTGTGTGTGTGCGCGCGTGTGTCTGTCTTTTTCAGTCTCGCAAATAACTCAAATTCTTCGTTCTCTTTCCTGTCTACTTGGGGGAATGTTGTGAGAGGGCAATCAGGTACAATGTATTCTCCCCTAGACACTCATATTTATTAGGATTCTTGTAGATCCTTCAGTGAAGACTTCACACCAAAGGGACTATGAGATAACCCCAAGAGGTACAATAGTTTGAAATTGCAGCCAAATTTACTAGGCAGTTAAAGCAGACAGACACAGTAAGGAAAAGCATTTGCTGTGCAAGCAGTGGGTGATTCGACTGCAATCCATCCTCTCTCTGCAAGGAAGTCGGGGGCATCCCTCAGTGGCATGCAGGGCGTCTTCCTCAGGGCCCTGGTCTGCAGGCTCTGCTGATGCAGTGATGGCCCCTCAGCCTTTGGGCCTTAGTCACCTAGCCTGTGTCCTCTGGGCCTTCTTGTTCTTAGGCTATTTGCATGGCCAAAGGGGTATTTATCTATCTCTCAAAAAATGCTTGGTGAGTGTGGGAAAGGACTCTCTTTGGGTCTTGCCTCAAGGGAGACAGTCGTTTTCAGAAGCAAAGTGAGGGAAGGTGCCAAGGTGTATCTAGTTCCTTGATCTATAGCTTCCTAGGTATAGAAGGTGATGTGAGTCTCTCTGTATCCTTCTCTCCCCTCAGCGTCTTGTCGCTTGCTACAGCCCACTGCAGGAAGCATCCCCAAGTGTCTGACACCAGGAGACAGAATTCCCATTCAAAGCCGTTGTCCTTTTCTCACGGTCCCAAGTGAGCCTTCTTCTGCTGGGATTCCCAACGCAGGAGAGTGTGAGAGTCTACTTTAGCAGACATATTTAGCATTCTCTAGAGATACAGATTCCCATGAAAACCCAATGGGAGGGTTGTAGGAAGTCTAATTCTGATGTAAAGAGACTGCTTTTCAAATGTGCTTATCAGAATTATCTTATGAATTCCAATACTGTTGACTGCTAAGATCAAAATCGGGAGGTTGTTAGGCTTTTATCTTGTTTCTGGCCCGTGGTGGCAAGAAGGGTCAAAACCAGAATTTGCCCCCAAAGAAAGGAGCAGATATGTCCATTTCATCCTTTGATCCTAGAAGTTCTCTGGGCCATGCGTTGAAGTAGTTGAATTAGAAAGAGTATTTAAGGATTAGTCCTAGGGAGATAGAGAGTGGGGGATACGGGAGAGCAAATAAGGCAGACTGGACCACAGCAAGCAGTTGCCGGGGTGATACAACAGCTTCTGTCTGATGGCATCTTTGGGACTCAGCACCACTTTTCCCAGTCAGGGTTGTGCCTGCTGGGCAGTTGTGCCAGCTACTGCTAAGAACACTCTGGAAATTTTTTCTTTATGAGTAGAATCCCAACGTGTGGCACATTTCTTCGTGTGTATTTAATAATGGTAAACCACCACCTTTGATGGGGGAAAATATAACAAGGAGCCAATGTAGGGAACCAGGTGTGAAGTCAAGCGGGCAGGATGTCAAGTGAGGTCACCCTGTGTTAGACCCCGCACACAGTGGAATTGTATTGTCATGGCAGACTTTCTGGTGCGGCTCATGTGAGAGGGCTACAGAACCCCCCAAAGAAGACAATGCTAAGTGAGCTTGGATGCATGAGCATTGTTAAGAATAGCTTCCCAAAGCTCAGAACCTTTAAGAAAAGCTTCTATTTGAATATATAAGTTCTGATCATTGGAGGAAAAGGACATAGTCATTATTTTGAAGTCACACAGTGTGGAAATTAAGGTTGTATTGCATTTATTTTCCTTCCTCTCCCCAATTCGGTGTATTGTGCTCTGAAAAGACAGGCAGCCGGAAGATGTCAGAGCAGCAGCCAAAGGGTTTGGCATCTACAGCTGATTAAATCTGTGCCTCCTCTCATCTTCCAGTGCCACAGTGTGGATGCCCTCCACCAGTGGGATGTGGACTCTGCTCTGCCTTTTTCCTGCAAGGAGCAGAGGGCTGCCTCTAGTGATTTACAGCTTCCTCTTATAATCTTCCAGTGGTGACAGACGCTGCTGAGGCAGCTTGCCAGGGCCAAGGGGCCGCTCACTGGAAAAATCCATCGGTGCAGAGTACCCCAGGAGCCTCTTTGCTCTAGGAAGACGAGGGTTTTCTCTCACCAGGGCAGAGAAGCATAACTGTGCTGTTTCCATGGTGCTTCTGTCAGCCATGGCTGCCCCTCCCCTTCTCCCATCTGTGTGGCCTGTGAGAACGTTGGCCAGCTGGTTGTGTGAGATATATATGAACTCAAATCTGTCACATAATGCTTTCTTCTTCTTTTTTTTTTTTTTTTTTAACAGTGCCTTGACGATAGTCTCCCTTTACATCCTTAGCTTAAAAGATCAAGACCGACATGCCCCAAATCTCTCTCTGAGGTGAGAGTTCTGGTCTTGTTTTCCTTTGGGGAGAAGTAGTCTTGAAGGCCTCCTTCATTAATCATTTTGTTTTCTTCCTCCAGCAACATCACAAGCTCTCAGGAGCCAGCCCTGCCACCCACAGCCTCCCCCTCTGGTAAGATTTTCACATTCCTCGCTCTCAAACCCAGCCCGTGTTTCATGTGAATTGTCAACAAAAGAACCAGCCTTTCAGGTTAACCTTGTTGCTTCCCTCGGCTCTGCCCAACGCTTTGCAGCAGCACCTAATACATCTCTGGCAACCACACAGTCCTCCTTCCGAGTACCAGAAATCACTTTCTGTGAGATTCTGCCTTGTCAGGAGACTTACTGCTGCCCCATCTGGGGAAAGAGAAGAGTCCTCTCAAGTCTTGTGCAAAGGCGTTCCAACGAGGAATTCCATCAGAGGCCATGGGCAGGTAAAGGATGTTCAAAGAGAAGCAACCAGGGCTCTGAACCTGAGGTGTTTTGTTTTTTTTTTCTTCTTTGCAAATATTTACTTGCATGATCTGTTAATGGTTCCAGACAATCGTTTTCTATTGAGGTGGCAAGATCTTTAAAAACACAAATACACAAACTTGCAGTCATCTGTAATATTAAGTCCCCCACCCAGGGATGAAATTTTGGTTGATTCAAGTGAAAAAGTCTCATCTGTCCATTGCTAGCAAAGATAGTAGTAGTAGAACATGTAAAGTAATCATGTGTGGATTGGGTAGATTTTCTGGCTCACTTAGAACTTATAAAATGATGTCGTAGCTGGGCTTTCTGCCCAAACCAAGTAGGGAAAAATGTAAAGGTCTTTGGAAATCCAGTGAGTTCAGGGTAAGCTGCCAGTCAGTGAAAATCACAACCACTTTCAGAATATCTTCTACCTTCTAGGGACACACACACACACACACACACAGAATGTTTTTGAGTAACAGAATTTTCATGTTAAAAACATTATGGAAACTTGAGTAAGGGCTAAAAATGTAATTATCTCTATAAAACCATATGTAGGACACCCAAATGTATACTAATTCATTATTATTTTGGAAATCTTCTGCATACACAAAACAAGTATATAAAATAATAATGATGATAATGCTGATAATAGCAATATGTACATATTAGTAGGGATTATATATCAGGATGTTGTAGCAACAACTTCCAAATTACAGTGACTTAATGTGGCAAAAATGTATTGCTGATTCTCTTTCTATGTCAAATATGGGTCAAAAGAGGGTTCTTGCTCATCATGTCATTTGGAACTTAACTAATGGAGACTCCATCTCAATACATATTTCTACCACCTCTGTAACAGTAGGTAAGAGAAAAGGCAAATTGTGCACTGGCTCTTAAAGTTCCAACCTAGGTATAACACATGTCACTTCTGCTTACGCTTTATTGGCCAAACCAAGTGATGTTGGTCATTGATAAAGTGCAGACCTAACATCCGCTTAGAAGAAGATGAACCAGAATATTTTTGAGCAGTCCAAATGACTGACATGTAAAATATGGTCAGTGGTTGAGGTTTTGGGGCAGCAATGTAATTTCTTTTTCCTTATGACATTATTTTATATCATAGAGTTGAATAAATAACTTGTACAAATCATTGTCACCATCACCACCGCCATTATCATTATCATGTAATGAGGTAGTAATGTATACAAAAGCACTGCCATAAGTAATCTACATGAGTAAACTATTCAAGTCCTCACCAACCTAAAAGACAGGCACTGTTATTATCCCCATTCTTTCCAACACGAAGGTGAGACATAGAGAGTTTTTTCCTGCACCCATAGAAGGCAATGCTTGCACTATTTTTCCCATGAAAGCAACTTTTGATTGAACTTGGCAAGAGATGCAACACTACAGGGCAAAGATGCATCACTACTTTCACAAAGATGTGAAAGGAATTCGTTTGAGTCAGCATATTCTCCATAGTTTCAAACATGGAAAAATCCAGTATGGTTACAAAAATCCCCCAAAGCCTTCATCTCTTGTGAAAGCACATGGAAACTTGTGGCTGGTAAACTCTTTTCTTACCTCGGGGTCCACCTTGGATATGCCTGGTGTCCTTTTCTGAGAGCAGTCCTCAGAAGAGACTACCTCACCCACGAGAGACGTGTAACAACGGATCCTGTACAGGAAGAGGTCATGGACAGATCCAATCTTCATTTGCAAAAAGGTTCTTGACCCTTAAGCAAACTCATTCCTGTGGCAACCAGCTCTTCATATGGAGGGAAGAGAAGCCTTATCAAACCAGATGAAGGTTTATTGCTCTCTTCTCTGGAACAGGGGGTATCTGCAGGTCTTATATTTCCATGAGTATGGGAGACACTAAAGAGACTCCTAAAAAAAGAAGGTCTGCCCCACAATCTCTGGCTGTGTTCTACTAGACACAATTATCAGCGTTGTCTGGCTAAAAGTGAAATTGAGGGGCACCTGGGTGGCTCAGTCAGTTGAGTATCCGACTTCGGCTCAGGTCATGATCTCGTAGTTTGTAGGCTCGAGCCCCACGTCACGCTCACTACTGTCAGTCGCCCTGTCTCTGCCCCTCCCCCACTTGCATGCTCATGTGTGCATGCTCTCTCTCTCTCAAAAATAAATAGACATTAAAAAAAGAGATGCGTCTTTCAAATAAATAAATAAAAATAAATAAAAATGAAATTTAAGTCCTGCCTTACCAGGCTCCCTGATACACTGGGAAAGTTGTTCCCTCTTCTCTCTTTCGGCTGGAGAAAGATGGAAAGGATTTTCTTCACTTCACTTCACAGTTCTCTTCACTATCTTGTTGAGGAAAGCCGCACACTTTGGGGGATTTCGAGTCATAGAATGTCAGAGAGCAGTACACCAGTGGCACCCTAACTTTTTGACCCATAGAATCCACTATTAATTCATTATTCTTTTAGGATCATTTGACTGAGAAAACACCTAGAGGGAGAATGTTACTGTAAACTCAGTTAAGCTTGTAATCAAATTATTTTTGTTAGTCCAAAGCATAAGAGACTCTTAAAAACTGAGAACAAACTGAGGGTTGATGGGGGGTGGGAGGGAGGGGAGGGTGGGTGATGGGTATTGAGGACGGCACCTTTTGGGATGAGCACTGGGTGTTGTATGGAAACCAATTTGACAATAAATTTCATATATTGAAAATAAATAAATAAATAAATAAATAAATAAATATTAAAAAAAATTTTTTTTGTTAGTGCAACAGCAATACTTGAAAAATAGTACACATCTGTGGGAGAGTTGTTACTTTTCAAGACCCCACTGACCACTTTATGCCATCACCTGGGGTTCCAGAGTCCCCAGGTCAGGAAAACCTCTGATTTATACCAGCTTACCCATTTTACAGCTGATGAAATGGAGGCCCAGGACCTTGCTTAAGGATCTGCAGTAAGCTATTGGCAAAGTTGGAATTGGAATTTGAGTCCTCTGTCTCCTTGTCCTGGGTTTCTTCCCATCTACCATTGTGCGTCCATTTATTTGGGCACAGTGTGTACATGTACTCGGGATCAGCTTTAGAGGAATCAGAAAGTATTCTATCTATGGTTCTGGAAAGCCCCTTCGGCATCTGCCTCCCGCAGGTTAGCCTATAGCCATTGAGATGTCCCTGTTGTGGGATATTTCTGTGGGTGTAAAGAAAGCCTCTTCTCTTCTGCTGCTGGTCCATCCTCCCCTTTTGTCCTGACCACTGTATAACACCGGGGTTCCTAAATCTGAAAGTGGAGAAAGCCAGGCAAATTCTTTCAACCAGATGTTTCTGAGGCATTGAAGACTAATTAAAAATTAAGGAATTGGGGCGCCTGGGTGGCTCAGTTGATTAAGCATCCAACTTCAGCTCAGGTCATGATCTCACGGTTTGTGGGTTCGAGCTCCACATTGGGCTCTGTGCTGATAGCTCAGAGCCTGGAGCCTGCTTTGGATTCTGTGTTTCCCTCTCTCTCTCTGCCCCTCCGCTACTTGTGCTCTGTCTCTCAAAAATAAATAAAGATAAAAAAATTTTTTTAAGTAATAAAAAAATAATAAAAATTAAGGAATAAAAATAATAAAATTCAAGGGTTAAGGGAAAAACAAAAAAACAACAATTTGGAATAACTCTGTAAGATGAATTGTAATATCTAGCAGTTTACCATCACATTTTTATGATATGCTGAGCACAAGCTATTGTTCTTCTTTTGGGCCTAAATTGATTGTGTAAAATGTCGTCAGAAAGTTTATCCCCTCTTCCCACTTACTATGAAAGGTTTGGGGAAGACGAATCAGGATGTGGAGAGTGGGTATTTTGGAACATTGAGCTTCTAATCTGAGGCACCAACTGAGTGTGAGGGATTAGATTTTAATCTATGGAACCGATAAAGATTTAAATAGAGTTAGATATTACAAAGTAATGAGCTTGTGAGGAAAAAAAATCTGTGGATTCCACAGAGTTTTGGTGAAGATTTAAAAAATCTCATGAAGCTAAAAGGCATGGGAATTCCTGCTTATTTTGTTTTGGAGTTCAGTACTTTGAGAAAAGCAAATGGTTGCAATAAAATGGTTCCCTGTGTTAAAGGACTCAGTCATCAATTGGTTGGGCTCATTGACTTTTTCTTGGCATGAGTCTGGTTCAATCAGGAAAGAAAAAGGTATGCTGCTTTGGAACTTAGCCATAGAGCACAATTTTATAAGTAATGCTATATACACATTCTACCACAAGAGGGTACGCTTTGGTTGGACGCCATCTTAAATCTCTCCTCTCCACAAGTTTCTAATTTAGTTTATTGGGAGATCTTTTCCACTGATTGTGAAATATATCTCCAACTTTACAGGGAATACCACTAGGAGTGTATAGTAAGTTTATAGTGAATATTACTGGAAGGCATTTGTAAAATGAGAGTCACCCCTATATGACTACAGGAGAATTTATGGTTTTCCAATAACCAGCCTTTCAGAATTCAATAGTCTTGCCTCAAAGAGGTGAGAAATTAGAGGTGTTTTATAGGAGATTTAAAATTTATTTCCAATCCTGCCATTTTCATAATTCTAATCTGCAAGATTATCTCTCCTCAACCTTACCTTTTAATAACTGTTTTAAAAAATGCAGTTATCCCATAAGATACTACATCCTATCTTAGGATTCTATGTCCAGGAACCTGAAAACATGCTTCTGTGGAAGTGAGGCAACTCTGTAGTTCTGTTGTCAAAATTTATAATGAGCCCTTTTCTGCAGATTCAGCGGGAAAGTAAAAAAAAAAAAAAAAAAAAA